GGATTGAGGAGAGCAGATGCTTCTGCAGCTTTGACCTGCACTGTTGACTCCAGGGGGTGGTGTGGGTGGCCAGAATTTACAAATTACACTTTGGTTCATGGCTGTATTTTTACAGATTAAATCTTTTGGCATCTAAAATAAATCAGTATGCTCTTCCATGATCCAAGCCTTCCCCTTCCCCTATTTTTTTTTTCTTCTTCTTCTTTAGGTTAGCCTTCTAGACTCATCATAGCTGCAGTACCAGGGACCCAGCCTGTAAATAATGTTGGCTCAATGCTCCTCACCAGTTTGTTTCTCAGCAGATTTTTACTGAAATAATTATGTGGAATGTTAGATTTGTATGTTGTGGTCATAGGAAAGTCCAAAAGAGGCATGTTGTTTGAATAGGGTTCTTAGAACAATAATAGCTATGTTCTAAATTCATAATTCTACTAATGAAACACTTCAGTCTGTTTATATGGCACCGATTTAGAACAGATGTCATCTCAGGGTACTTAACAAATTTATGAGCAGAAATACATAAATCAATCCATTTATATAGACAAATTAAAATTAAACTACAGACACACATCATAACTTATCCTAATTATAATGCTTGGGTATCCAGCTGGATCAAAAAAAAGTGTTTCTATTGAGTTAGTGTCAGACTTTGCAGCGATACCTCCACCTGAACAAGCATAGGGTAACAGTGGAAGGAAATAATTCCCTTTTAACCTCCAGAAGGACACAATTTAGTGTGAGGATCTGTCTGCTATGACTGGGATTTGAGAAGAGAGCTAAAAAAACATGTTTTTTTTTTGTTTTCATCAAAGAGTACATGCAGTTAAACACAAAGTTCTTAGGCCTCTGACAGATTTTCATTTTTGACAGGAAATGTAAATAGGTAGATAGGTATGTAGATAGTGTTTATTCACACTGCGATTAGCCTAGACCATCAGTGTTATGGTCTAGGACTAACTAATTAATGCTAATTAATTAACTAGCATTAATTTATTAGCATTAATTGATGCTAATTAATGCTGCAGCCATCACTTTCCTTGTTGTTATACTGAGCCACCAAATGTGGCATCGTCTGTCGGCCAAATTGAGAGTGAATATCCATAACCAATTCCTCAAACCAAATCTTACTTCTTAAACCTTCATATTCTCAGTGAAATGTGACACCACTGCATTGGTTTCAGTTCTTTACTGGCTTCAGTTTATTCTTATTTGTTCATTTTGCAGACATCTTTTCCCTGTATTACTTCTTTTCATATTTACTTGATAGTTTAGTCAAATGTTAACTCAGCTAAAGAGTTTCTTGTAAAGCATTTTGTGAATAAATAATTAAGGAGGGAAGTTGTTTGTGTTTATTCAGTCTTTATTAGTGCTTGCTGCTTGATAACGCCCATGTGGATTCTGCTCTTCATCTGTTGTTGTACAATACCACACATCACCAGGCAGGCATGTTCTTTAAATAAACAGTAGGCCATAATTCTGTTTAATAATCCGTATTAAACTTTGCAGATTTCTGGAAGAAAAGTTTCCACATGCCTCTGTTCACGCCAAACATTAAGTAGTTGACAAAGAACTACAGGTTTTTATTCATTTGCGTCTTCTTGTGAGAATGCTCTCTTTTCAGTTTCTTTAAATGCTTAAACTCCTAATGATTAGCAACATTAGAAATCAGTTTACACGTACACACAATGCTGAACAACAATGAATCAGCAAACATGGGAATGTCAAACCGAAACATTTTCTTCAGATGCTTTGCTCATAGAGGATTGTGTAAGTAGTGCTGTGTAGGGATGGTGTGTTCAGTACACTGTTGACCCAAGGGAGCCCTTTGTTTAGAAAAAAAAAAAGGTGCAGAACACAGCAGAGATAGATGAGGACAGAGCGAGATAATGCAGTGAGACAGATGCAGTGTAAGCACAGAAGGACGGGTAAGGCAAGAAGAAAACAATGAGAGAAAAAGCAGTTGGAAAGGACTCTGGCTGGAACAATATATAGCTAACAAACAGAGGAAAACTCTGTCTAAGACCCACACATCTGCTATACAAAATGAAGAGCCTCTTTATTTTCACTTGGCATGTTTTCCTCAAATTTGTCTGTTGAGTTTATGGGATCACTCCAAGTTTACACTCCTCACCTTTACCATCAGGACAGAGCAGTAAAAGATCCCTGAAGCTTTAAATTATTTGCTTTAGATGATCTCTAGGCAACACAGACAAATATGGATATGTCTATTATAAAATGGCTCCGTTTTATATCTAATGTTCTGCAGGCCAAAATGAAACTCCCCAACAAAAATAAAGGTCACACACACTCTAATATTATGTTTGGATCACCTTTACAGCATGCATTCACTGGGGCATTGTTTCTACAAGCTTCTGCAATGTCAAAATAATTATTCCCATCCAGTGTTGCATTAATTTTTCACCAATATTTGGTATTGATGATGGGAGCGTCCAACCTTCTCCAGGATAACCCAACGGTTCTCAGAGGGGTCAGAGGTCCAGTACAGGTGTGAAAATGTTGTCTCGTGCTCTATGAACTACTCTTTCACAATCTGAACCTGATGACTCCTCACATTGTCGTCTTTGCATATCAGGGAATCAGGGAAGAAAAAAAAATTATGGAATACCTTTGTCATGCTTGCTTTTTTTTCTCACCACATTTCATCCTCAAATACAATGCTTCCTGATTTTCTACTCATCCACTACTCAATGGCATAATTGTTTTACCTTTGATTACTCAACATACATAAACATGTTTCATGGCTTCTTTGGCTGAGCCAGTGTTTCAACCAATTGGCCTGTGTTCCTTTTCTGTAATAAGAACAAATAACAAATATAGCGTGTCAATGAAACAAAGTGGTCCACAACTGAAACATAACATTGTTGTTTGTTTGAATACAATTCACTACAGTTTTAGATTACAGCCAACATTTAAAGTCGCTCTAAATGCAACAAAAAGAAAACAAATTCAGCCTTAAATACATATGCTATGACTGGCTCAGGGTCATAACAAAATTGGTGGACCATACCACGGGTAACATTGCACAAAAGGAAAATTTGTTAAGGAAAATGAGTAAAGAAAATGAGTATAGAAAAACATATATATATATATATATATGTATATATATATATATATATATATATATATATATATATATATATATATATATATATATGATGTGTCAGTACCAGTGGGATTATACAAATGCTTGTCTGGGGGTAGTGAGGGACTCAGACCTGAAACTTTAAAGACAAAAAAAAAGCAATTACAAAGTCATACTTCAATAACATGGAGAACATTTCCAGGATAAGAGGTTCTAATGTTGCAGAAAAACCCAGAGAAACACATCCATGCATTTATTTTTAATAGAATGGATTTCTGCAACAGTGTCGTCACAGGCCTGCCGACAAAGTTTAATCAGACACCAGGAGCTGATGCAGATCGCTGCTGTTTGTATTCTGACTAAAACCAGGACGACAGAGCACATCCCCCCAGGTCTAAGCTTCTTATACTCCCAGCAGCTCAGAGAATAGACTTTGAAATAATTCTGGTAGTTTTTAAATCTCCAAATGACTTAGGACCAAAATACAGTAAAGACCTGGTGTCATTACAGCAGGTCTGCAACCAAGCATGGAGAAGCACCAACAAGCTTCCAGAAAACAGCAAAACAGTGAAAACACAGTTTTTTTTTTTTTTAATCAAGGCTAAAACCCCATGTGATTAGAGTTGGAACAATGATTAATATTTTTGATGTACATTGATGATTTTGACTAAAGCATTTGACAAAATGCAATGTTTATAACTATAAATGGTTACAGTAATGTTTCTGTCATGTGAAGCATTGCTTTGCTGATGAAATATGCTATGCAAATAAACTTGACTGTGTGTGTTGAGATGCGAAAATAAAGACAAACTCAAATGTGCCTGATGAAGACGAGACGAGGCCCAGCAGCCGGGCAGCAGGGTCAGGAGGCCACTGAAAGGAGGAAAGAGTCAACGTTGGACTCTGCTCTGGTTCCACACGCTCCACAGCAAAGATGCAAAAAGAGCAGGCAGACTCCGACACACAGTACCCAGCACACATGGCCTGGGGCCGTAACATGTTCCACACTCTTAACGTAAGTATAGCAATTGACACTTTCCATATCATATTCACTTGTTCTTTAAGATTCACGTAGGTTAAACTGCATCTCTTTCATTTTATGTAAAATAAGTATAACCATTTGCATTGTGAAAATACAGCATTTCCCATTACTGCCACCCAGTGGTCTGTTTGTTCCTTCATGTTGTCGCCTCCAAGACAGAGTTTGATGCGCCCGTTTGGCTTTAGGTTGTCTGAAAAATCCTGTAGTGTGTGATCCAGCTGCTGCCACAGGTGTTAAGTCTGGTGTGAACAACTAGTCTTTTCAAAATCTGTGATAACTGTCAAAGTAGTGAAGTGTGAAGTGAACTGAGTTACTCAGGTAAATACAATTTTCAATAGCAGTCTAGTTTATTGAAAACCAAAACAGAGCCTCAGCGTACCCCAACTGTTAGATCAGTACAATCTGAAGCTGTTGCCTTCAGGTGAATCTAAACTGTGGTTTGTGGATTTTCACGTTTCACTGGATTGGTCTGGATAACATCTGACTTAACTGTTCTGTTATAAATGTGCTTCCTTTAGTACGTCAGCACTTTTTTCACTTTCAAAATGTTTTGAGTTACAGCATGCAGTAAGTTGCTACTCATAAAATATGCACTCTACAACATCAAGCATTTGACTGTGTGGAGCAAAAGGAACTGCATATTGTTATTGTAATGGCTATTTATACTCTATATCCTGATTTTAATTTTTTATTTTTTTTACTTAATGAAGAAAATCTGATGGTCCAAAACCATTTTCCACTTGTTTATGCAGTGTTGACTGTGAAAGAGAAGTCACGGGAGATGTGAGACTGAACTGTAGGAGGGGGCTGAGGAAGCATGGAAAGACATTCAGCAGCAGAGAGAGGAGAGGGAGGGATCTAAGCGCAGTCCAGCTTCTCTGCGCTGTGGAGCCCCAGTCAGTCCGACAGTGAAGGACACAGAAAGAGGAGAGATTGTGCAGCAGTGCAGCGCAGGAATAATTAACTGAATTAAAATGGCAAAGAAGCAGGAGAAAAGCATCACCCTCCCATCTGTCTGACTGAATAGTTGGATAAAGCTGACAAGGAGGTACAACAGGAATAACAAGGAGGAGGGGAGGAGGTGCCAGAGGTCCGTCCATGCTTATTTCTCCTCTCGCACCGTCCGCCTGAGGAGCTTTGCTGCTGATGGTGTCACTGCGACAGCGCTCAGTGAGGGAGCTGTGTGAGCGCGCTGGTGTGCCTGTTTAAATATCAACAGCTGAGAGTTCATCTATCAGGTGGATGTGGAGTAAATCTGGGATTTGTGAGCTGGAAGAGTTTCGTTCAGGTGTCAGTTGAACATTCCTCATTTTCGCCCCTCTTCCCTTTTTTCCTTTGGTGCATTCGTCTGTACGAGAAGCTTTGCCTGTTTGATCAGGAACTGCTGCTGCGCTCTGCTTCCCCCTTTCCTACCTCGCTTCTCTTCAGCCCTCTACCGGCTTTTTAGTAACTGTTCTGGGACTACAATTGGCGGTCTGGTTTGGTGGCTCCCCCACAGACAGAAAAAGCATATGGGTGAGTGTGTTAACGTGTGTGTTAATTGGATGGGTGGTGGGGGTGTGTGTTGGGGGAGATAGTTCAGGGGTTTGCTCTTCTCCTGCTGTGTTCTTCTGATTTTACTCATTTTTTTCTCTTTAAATCACATTTTCATTACCTTTCTCTCTGTGGCTGAGCTTGTAATTTGCCCATTCTTATTTATCAGTCCACCACATTGCTTCTACCCCAAACAATATCCAACCTTCATTTTCAAACAAACTATCCATTAGACATGTTGTGCCCCTCATTACCAGTCTGTCACCTTTTTCGCTTTGTTTCTTTCACCGCTTTGCCAATTTCTCATCTTCATCTCTTTCCTTCCCCACAACTGTCAGTCAGCTGCACCATCAGGTTAAACATACACATACAGATTTTCTTGCTTTTTTGTGCTGCACAACCAGAAAGTCCTCCGTACTCTGATTCCTGTAGCTAAGAGGCAAAGGGCTTGACATAAAATCAACAGTCAGAGGTTTATCCCAGATAATCCTTGCATCCATCTCTCCATCCATCATTGTCCAGCCTCCTTACCCGCTCCAAGACACACATTCAGAAACACGCCAACACCTCCGCAACTTTGGACAGACACTTCTGACCCATCATTACCCCCTTCGCCTCTCAAATAAATACTTTGATAGACATAGATATTAATGTGTGTAATCAGAAAAAACATAAAACTCCAGAGAGATGAGGTAGACAACATTTTTTTTTTTCACAGCCCATGTTTCTATTGAAGTATTTCTTTGTCCTGCTATTAAAAAAATCGTTCTTCATCATCGGCCAGCCAGCCTATCACTGCTACATGCCAAATAAAACAGCACTTTCTGGCAAAGTCTGTCTTCTATAGTCACAATGTAAAAATAGAAGAAAGAAAAAGCAATAATTTGGTGTCAAAAGATCTCAGGCTGATCACTGCTTGTAGTTTGCTGTATCCACAGGGCTCCCACTTACAAACTGAAAAATCTTGTAATATTCAAGACAAAAAGCTAATGTCATTGCTCTCAAAGGTCAGACTTTTTTCCCCCTGGTATGATGATAAAAGCATTTTCATGTTAAGGTTGAAATACTTAAGTGTGTTATGAAAAAAAAAACAAAACAAAAAAAAAAACAGTATTCACACAGCAACAAGTTAGCCTCATGAAGAGAGCTGAAAATTAACTGTCAATCTTATTGCCCCCTGCTCAGATGCAGAAACAAGGGTGGAAGTTGACTCATTCACGTGATAAATTATTCAACGCATGAACAGAGCTCATATCCTTAAAACATCCCATGTGGCCCAATTTGCTGCCAAACTGTTTATTGTTTGGATGAGCAGGAAACAGATGCACTGACTGCTAATGATTCTGTTGTGAGCCAAAACAGTTTCCATCATTTCTGATCGGTCAACTGTTGAGTTAAAGTGAATTACCTGTATATGGCAGCTTCTGTAGATGAGTCTAAAGATGGCTAAATAAGCTTTCTTTAAATATCGTTGTAATCTTTGATAGTAAAATGCAGTGACATAAAACAGGTGCTGTGCAAAACTGGTGGTGGCATTGCAAAGGTAGCTGCAGAAAAAACACTGAAATGTTGTCAAAATCTGTACAAAAACTGGATGCTCTTCCATCTCATAATGAACCAATATTGTCATTTTTACAAAAAAGATTTAAAAATAAAGAAAATACAGGAACATCAAACAACCTAAAATTGCTGCACAGCTGAATGCATTCTAGCCTTTCTCACATAAAACCTTGTGAAACAGACAAAAGTGCATAGATGTTTTTATATTGCCCTTTCATTTACCCGACTAGTAATTACTGCTCTCAAATTCATTTTATACTATTTGGTACTGTTTTTAAGAGCTTTCTTTTTATGGCTAAGCAAAGTCTCTACCCTGACTATACTCAAACTCATCTCCATAGTTTAAATAAGTCTGCAAGACAGAGGGAATAGGTCCACATAGATCTGTTTTTAATTTAATATAGAATTTATACAATATAGTGGTTTTGAGCTACATTTCCCTTCTATTTTAATAAAAAAAATAACTCACCCTTAAACTACAAGTTACTGCCTATATGTGGTGTCTACGTTTCAACCCTCACCGATGATTGGAACATGTGACTCAAGACGAGAAGAAAAAAATCCCTGATTCAGCCTTAATGATAAGGTGAGGATCTCCACCATCCTGAGGGAGTCTGGAATAGAGCCACTTCACATCAAAGGGTGTCAACTGAGGGGATTTGGACAACTAATTTGGATACCTCCCTTTGGGGGTTTTAGGGACATGTCTGACTGACTGGGAGTCCGAAATTGATCCACAACTCACTGGAGGGACGATAGACCTTCTGGTTAGTAAATGCTTTGGTATTCCCCAAAATGAGTGGAAGAGTGTCACTGTGGAAAGGAATGTTTGCACCTGGAGGTATTTTAAACAATTCAGTGAATATACATCATAGTTTTAAATAAAAATATCAACTGAGTCTCTACATAAGATCAAATTAAGGTAAAATGAACTTCAGCTTGTTTGCGTTAAGACTGAGTATTTTGTGTGTCTTCTGCTTTCACTATAATTACTCCCAACAAATGTTAGTTAGAAGATTGGCCTGCCCTAAAGCTCACTATGTTGTCATTAATTTCCTTCCAAAATAAAACTTTATTGGACAAAATAAAAACCTAATGAAGGATACAAATATATTGTAGAGTAATTAAATTAATTTATTATGTGTCACTACTACACAGTTTTACAACTGCTACCTAAATGTTGCAGAAATTGCCTGCAATTTTATTGAATTCAATGTTACATTGTGCACACACAGCTACCAAGCATATACCCATGTCAGCATGCTAAATGCATGAAGTGCATCCAACTGATGGTAGCTAATCAACTTTCATCTAAAAATTAATTCCACATGGGTCACACTTATAAACTGTCCTTGAACTCCTCACTTTTAGCCCAAGGTCATCATTTGATATGTAAGCATAAAAAACAGCAATAAAAAAAATTACATGGACAGCATGACAATACAACCTCCTCAGTGGACACTGCTTTACAAAATGATGCCACACCTTAACATTGAAGTTTTAATAAGATTTAAATTTATATAGAGAAAAAAGTTTTTTACATATTTTATAAACCTGTCACTATGTCACTGAAACATGGGCAATGACATAGTGGTATGAAAAAGAAAATCAAGCTTTTCCCAGTGATGAATGCAGAATAAACTGCCCAGTCAGAAACAACCAATCAGAGCCAGAAGGACGGTCTTAGTGCTGTGAATCATCCTTGTGTGTACGCTGCTCACACTCTCCCCCCTGCTCTCTGCTGTGCTACAGCTTCTTCCTTATGGTACAGCCTGCCACACATGCTCAGGCTAGTTAGCATGGTGACTCTGGATAAACAGTTTTCCTGCAACAGAAAGTTGTTTCTCTACCATTAACACATTGAGCATCACATACATGGGCTTAATTGACAGCAATGACACCCTCCTGCTGGCTCTGATTGGTTGTTTTTGACCACAAGCAGTGTGTTTCTGCAGATTGCAAAAGAAGCACTGGGAGGAAGAGGAGAAGCTTGATTTTTTTCGCAGATTACCTGCCACATATATCACTTTCACAACATAGTGACAGTTTTAACAAATATGTAAAAGAAAAAAAAAACAAATTTTTAAGAGAGGTTTGTACTGCAGCAGCTTTAACATGCCTAGTAGGACTTGATGTTTCATAAAAGTGATTTATTTCCTTCCATTTAGATACAGTGTATATATCTGAAAACAGATTTTTAGATACAGTGTGACAGCCACTTACATCCCATGTCTCACAAACTTCCATAGTTTGTAATTTCACCCAACTTGCTTTTATTTATGAACCTAGGTATCGGTTTTATTTTCTTTCACTCAAAGATTGTTTATTTAAGAACAGCCAACATCCCAGAAGTGGCAAGACACATAATAGCAAAAGTGAAGCAATTTTATTTTCCTAACAGCTTCAAAGTGGTTGAGACTTTTAGCGTTATCTTCTAGAGTAAACTACATCTGTTTGCCACCATGGTTGTTGTCCTTTTTTTCCTCCTTTGTATTAATAACTGATAGTTTTTATTTGTACATAGTACTACACTGGTGTCTGTGAGAGAAGTATGAAATTGGCACAGACCTCCCTTCAAGGATTTTCTTTACTTTATGTGTATTTTGTGTTGGTAACTGCTGCCAAGGGCACCCTTTAAGAAAAAGGCCTTGCCAAAGATGTTTCACAACCGAACCACATGGTATATAGTAGAATAATTCACTCTTCAATTTCTCCAAAAGTACGCATTTACGGGAAGTTTCTTGGAGTAAAACCAATAAATCCACTTGAATGTACTTAAATGGCCTGCTCTAGAAAATAAACTCATTAACTGTTCTCAATTAGCCTTTAGGTATGGTTGGGTAATGGATCAGTGTATTGAAGTCCTTTATAATAAAAGAATATATTTCAGCCAGGATCAAAATTATAATAATTTCTGTTCTGTGTCTTTGCATTTGAGTGATAAGAAGCGGTGTGCTGTTACCACAGAGTAGTAATACGTTATTATAGCAGATAGAAAGACAATCATACTGTGGCTCAGGTTAGTTTTTCTGAGGTTTAATACATGCATGCTTTATTCCAGAGTGAGTTACCGAGCTGTTGTCACTGCGGGTGACAGTTGATGGAGTCGACTTTTGTTCTGTATGAGCATCAGTGGTGACAAGAGGCAGCAGGTGTGTGTTCAGTTCCAGTCTTGAAACTGTGTGTGGGACTTTTTTTTCTGTGTGTATAGATACACGCCATGGGCTGTATGCATTTGTTATTTTATGCATTTATGCATATATATTTAGTGCTAGACTTCAGGCAATGCAAAGAGGAAAATATTCAGTCCGTTTCATACTGCTCCTGTGGGAATTTGCCACAACCTACACAGACACACACATCTGCGGCACCTTCTCTTTTTTTTCACAGCCAAATGCCCAGTGGCTCAACGAACGTGGAAT